GTTCCCAGAACCAGCTAGGTCGTCGTTTTGTTGAATGTTTTGATGAGCCCCATACCTTTCACGATAGTGCCGTACTCGAGTATGACTTGTTCGCATTGGTGGTGGGGGTAAAAGAGGTGGTATTATTGGTGGATCAATATTCATGTTGGGATTGTTTTGATTGCCAGAGAATATTCCAGTTGAAGCTGGGTTGGTTGTCGGTAGAGTCGGTCCGTCTTGAGCCTGAGAAAACGCCATGACTGAGAATAACTGATTCCGGTTGCTTTATCTTGAGTTGAGTTGTTGATAATTTCTAGTAGTAGTCCTAAATTCTTCTAACTAATGTCGCTGGCGTTCTTATCCAGGGCAAGGTTGGGGGGTTTTGGTTACTAACTAATAATAATACTAATAAAACTAAATAATATGATACTACTATTCAATTATATAGATTCGTAGAGGTTGTCATAGACTAGTATTCTACTTTGCACTGAGTTTTAATCGGCTACCACCTGGTAGTTAAACTTTTTTATCCTAACTACTCTAGTACGTTGGCTAATCGGTCCCCTCGTCTTCTACTTTATAATTGATTCTTGAGTATTTAACTACTTAATCCGGAGTTCTACTAGGTATATCTAAGAACTAAGTCGTATAAAGCTGAACAGAATGTGATTATTCAAAGATATGGTTTGTCACGTGGTCAAAACAGGAATTTTCCTGCCTAAAACTAACTAAAATTCTACTAAAATAAACTATAAAAATCACTACAATGGTTTAGATATATCTAATCCACTTGCCAAACTACAGGATCCTCTATCACGTTGGGGACTCCCTTGTAAAGCTCAAAAGTGTTTGTGAAAACCTTTTGCTGAGTGTGGAAAGGGATGAATGAGGATACCTCTGCCTTTCCTGGATCACTAGACACTAGACAAGCCCACCAATCTCAGATTGGAAGGTTTAATAAAGTGATAGTGGAGTGTATCAAAAGATAACTGTGGCTTAACAGGTGGACAAAGGGTTTAACCCAGTTTTATATAGGTCTAAGAGGTTGATTTGAGAATGAGAGAGTGAGTCTAGCTGATATTTCAATGGTAAGGGGATGGTATGTAATGGTATGTAAGGGTTTGTAAGGGTAGGGGGTATGAAATAGGTGGATACTAAACTGAGGGGAAAACAACTGAGAGGAGAGCCTCTTAAATACACAAAGGAGGGATTTTAGCTTCAGGGGAACAAGAGAATGAGAGATTTTAGCTGGCCAGAGCTTTACAATGAGGGGATTTAGCTAGTCAGAACATGTACATGAGGTATTTTGGCTGGTTGAGCAACCTACATGATGTCATAAGAGTTATTTTAGTTTGAACTAGAAGTCTACATGAGGTTTTTATGCTGGTGTAGCATTTTACATGAGGTGATGTACTAGTCTGCAAGCTAAGGTGAGGTGATGAGTATTACATGAGTGGTGTGAGATAGTCTGACAGCTGCAAGGAAGATTAACAAGTGACATAGCAACAGGACCAGCCTAGAAGCTACATATGTCAAGTGTCAGAAGATAGTGTAGTTGTGTGTATACCTGTACTATAATGGTGTGATTATGTAGTTGTCCTGCAACATGCATGTGTGTAGTGTGAATTATGTAATTTGTTGTTGTTGTTGAGTGTTGAAGTGTTGCCATGGTGGTGAGTTGTGTGATTGAGTGTGGTGATGGTCCAGAGGGTGTAGCTTCCAATCCAGTTGAGTTCCAGTGACGCCTCCAGTGGTGACCAAGGGTGAAATTGACCGTAGAATCCAGTTCTTGAGCCATATGGGGTGATTTGTGAGTGTATATATGAGAAAAAAGGTGTAAAAATTATATAATTTGTAATAAAAGAAAACTGTAAAATTTTTAAATGGGCCAGATGGCTTCCCTTAAGGTATACCACAACGAGATAAGCACAAGCCACCGCCAGGAAAAAATCGACGCTCTCATGAATTTTGGTGCCCTGTTCGACAATTGCCTTGGCCGGATCACCCATTTCGCTCTGAGGAAGGCTCAAAACAACCTGCGAATATCTGCAAACGTTGGGAAGAATGATCATTGTAACGGCTTTCATCGACTCCGGACAGGTATTCCGTGTAAACATCGCCTTGCAGAGTTGGCTCGGTCAGGGGGAAAGTTGGAACCGGAAGACTTTCACCAACAATGGCATATTCATGTATGTTCATTAAATTTTCTCCCCTCCAAGTACCAAATTTTCTCCTCTCCAATAATAACAATATGCTTTCTTTTGATCAATCAAAAAGGATCTTCAACCAAGAAACGATCCCCAACAAAACAGCCCACAAGCCCTTGACAAGATCGAATCCATCAAGCAAAGGCTCCTCCAAGCAAACCCGAGCACGTTATCCATACAGCTGGACGCAATCTCTCGACTTCTGGACGGCTCTGCCACCGTGGTCGACGTTCAGTTACCCAAGCAGGTGCAATCAACTCGAGGTAGACCCAAAGGAGCTCTGAACAAACCCAAATCAACAACACGGGACCCGTCGGAATTCGAACACATTGAAAAAAAGAGGAAACTTGAAGAAAAAGCCGCGAAGAAGAACAAGAAACAGAAGACCAAAGAAGAGAATAAGAAGAAGAAAGAGCAGGAAAAAAAGAAGAAGGACGACGGGAAAAAGAAGAAGGAAGAAGAGGCCCCAAAGAAGAGGATTCAACCAGTCAGGAAAGGGGCCACCAAACCGGTTGTTGTGGTCCCCAAGACGAAAGGGAAAGAAGCCGCACCTGGATCCTCCCCGCCCTCCTCCCCGGTTCAAGCCAACAAGAAGAAGCTCAAGATCAATTCCTCCGCTGATTCTTCCGTGCCCTCGTCCCCCAACCCTCCCACCGAACCAGCCCCCTTGGTGCATCTAGAGCCTCCGCCGCCTCCAGCAAACCCCCATCTACCAATCCCCCCGTCCGATCTCGATTACGTTGATTATTTACCAAAAATCATTCAACCTGAAGTCCGGGATGTTGTGGATGTTCGATCAGATGGTCACTGCGGATTTCGGGCTGTGGCTTACGGGTTGGGCCGTGGGCAGGGAGATTATATGGCGGTACGATACGAGATGTATAACGAAATTGTCCGTTGGCCTGATTGGTATCGGAAAGTGTTCCACAAACTTGAGGGGGCTTTGGCTTGTATCATGGTTGATTCACCAGCACCTTGTCCAAAGGCTCATTGGATGTCCATGCCTTCAATGGGTGAGGTAATGGCAAATGCCTTTGAGAGGCCTGTTTTCTTTTTTTCTACCACCTTTTGCCAGACCTGCCTCCCTTCTTTCTGCCCCCCCAATTCCAACCCCCCAATTTTTATTGCTTTCCTATATGAATTTTCTCATTTTGTCCCTTTGCAGTTACATAACCCAAGACTCTTTCTGGCCCCTCAGCTCATGAAGGGTTGGAAAGAAAAGGCATCAGAAGAGGCTTGGGGATGGGAAGCCATCTTTTCTGATTGTTTCCAATTGACTGTAGAGAGGAAAATTGAAAATCCAATGAAACACTACTAGGGTTTTTTTTATCCTGTGTCTTTTTTAGTTTTTGATTTTTTTCCTCTTTGTCCTTTTTTACCATGTTTTTTTTCTTATATTTCTCATCAATTGAATTCTTTTATCCCTGTTTTTTTCTTACATTTCTCATTGTTTTTTTGTTTACATTTCTCAACATCTCATCAATTTATTTCAATTATTTCTTGAATTTGTTTTTCTCAATGAATCTAATTTTTAATCATTGATAAAGTGCCTTTGGGGCGGGGCCCCAGTGGCTGAACTTTTTTTTGAGTTTTTAGGGTCGCTAGAGGTTGACGACTCCTGTTTTGAGTTGGACGACTCCCGTTTTTTTAATGCAGAAAAAAGGTTAAAATATTGGTTGTAATTGGTGCGCTGACTCCCGCCCTTTAGGCAGACGACTCCCTTTTTTTTTAATGAAAAAAAATTAGATTAGTTGGATAAATTGGGGCACCGACTCCCGCCCTTTAGGCGGGCGACTCCCATTTTTTTTAATAAAAAAAAATAAAAAAAATTGGGCTAAATTGGTACGACGACTCCCGCCCTTTAGGCGGGCGACTCCCATTTTTTTAATAAAAAAAATTAAAAAATCGCCATTGAAATTAGGACGACGACTCCCCTTTTTTTTGGGGGAATTGGAAGAACGACTCCCGTTTGACGCCCTCCCGACCAAAACGGGAGTCGTCGACTAATTTTTAGGAGTCGTTTTTCCAAGCCCCTTTAAAAAATGAATAGATTGGAGGACTTCCCGTCACGATTTAGAGCGCTTTTTAGACCTCTCTCAGTCTTAAATTAAGAAAGCAATTGATATTCCAACCAGCTCATGTGAGAGCTGTTTCTGGAAGGCTTCAGAAAAAAGATTTTTTTTGATAAAAAATTTAGATCTAGGGGGTGTAAAACAACTTCTAGGAGGGTCGTAGATTGCGACGGGAAGTCATGCATTGTGTCTCTTGAGGTTAGATAGATAGATAGATAGATTTTTCTGTGCATCATAAAATCCAATCCAACCATTTGTTTTGACAAGATTTTTTTCCATCAGTACATATTAAGCCACTGGAGGACTTCCCGTCGGGATTTAGACGCCAGTCTAAATTCTAAATTCTAAAATTCCTTGTCTAATTCCAAATTTCATCACCAAAAATTGGAAAATAGAAATAGGAAATAGAAAATAGCCGGGTTTCTAAACTGACGGGAAGTCCTCCACTAGAGGAATCTGCAAGCTCCTGTCACCACAAAAACAAAAAAAAAAACCAAAAAAAAACTCCTACAACTTTTGGGATAAATCCTGAGAAATTCTATATGCTACATACATATTGCAAGAATCCTGACTACATGTCAAAAAAAAAGTCCTATAAAATCTTGAGGCCCTCCATGGTCCCACGAAGCAAACGAACCACAATGCAGTGCTGAAGCTTTGTACAAAAATCTGAGAAAAAAAAACAAAAAAAAACGTTGTTGCAGAATGACGGGCCCGGCTTTTTTGAAGGCCATGAGGGAATGTCGAGCAGGCCCCGGTGATGGCTCGCATGCAGTTTGGCGGGCGTCCGGTCGAAGAGGACGACGAAGCTGGTCTGTTAAGACTTAACAACTATAAAAGAAACGAACCACGAAAGCAGATGGGGACCCTGCATACGACCATGTCGACGACCCCAGTAGTCAGGGGACCTGCGGGGCCCGCCGAGCCTCCTCCAAGACCAGCAGCTGTACTCCCAATAGTCGAGCCAGTCCGGATCACCGAAGGCGTCGAGGAGCTCGTCGGAGACGGATGTCGCGGGCTCATCAGCAGACTCGAGCAGTTCTCTTGTCGGCCAGACTCGCTTAGAGGGACCATCCAGAACCCGCAATGGATCTGTGTGCCGATCCATCGATTCTTTAAACTGTGAGTCATAGTGCTTTCTTTATTTGCTTTCAATTTCGGCTTTGCTCCCTCGCTCTTTTTTCAACTCTTGTTTTGTTTTGTTTTTGTCTCTCGTCTAACCCATCAGTTCCACATCGTCCTGATCATCCACCTTATTTTTTTTTCTCATTTTCTCGAAATACAAATAAATACATCCAAAACCAATCGAAGGTGTCGCTCAGCAAGCAGGACGATTTCCGTCGAGATCCCGCCTCCCCAGTCAACCGACCCGACCCGACCCACAAAAAAAAACGAACTGACGAGCAACGAGCGAATCGAGGAAGCCCTGACCTGATACTCAACTAACATTAGAGAAGAAGACGAAAAAAAAGCTATTTGTTTATCGATGTGAAGCTTGACTTAGTAGATGTTTCTATATTCTTGATCTGCCAGCAGACTTTTCAAACAAGACACATGTATACATAACACATTTGCTTCGTAAACTTCATCCGTATTTCCTGCCAACCAGTTCACTTGAGAGCCGATTTATGACCAGATGGCAGACACCAGAAAAGAGCAACCAAAAACACTTGACTACCTTGTTGTCGTCAAGCTTACTACAGAGACTGCACATCAAGCGTTTCTTTGATCAAACTTTGAAATTGGGCAAGATGAGACTTTTGGAAAGGCACAATAGGGTCATGAGCCGAACAGCAAGTCATTGAGCTGAATGGATTAGACGACCATCCAAGCCTGTTTTTTTTCATCTCGATACAAAAGCAGCACATTGATTGAGAAGAAGAAAAAGAGATCGGCCGGTACTAAATCATAGCATTTCTTTTTCTTTCGTCACGCGGTTTCTCAATGAGGGTAATGGAATACAAATCAAGCAAACGTCCGTCTTGAATGGGTATGTTTACTGGATTAAAAAGAAAATACAAATCCCTCAGTTTTAGAGTATAAAACACTCAGTGGACCCAAGTGCAATCAGTTCCAAATTACTTACGTAACGGTAATGGTCGACCTTGTAAGGACCGGCGGGGTTCAAGCCAAGGTACTCAGCCTGGGCTTCGGACATGCTGGTCAATTTGACGTTAAGGGCGTGTAGATGAGCTCGGGCAACTTCTTCATCGAGGGCCTTGGGCAGCATGTGGACCCCGAGAGGGTATGTCTTGTTCTCCTTGTCCTCCCAAAGCGCGATCTGAGCCAAGGTTTGGTTGGCAAACGAGCAAGACATCACGAAGGACGGGTGGCCGTGGGCACAACCAAGGTTGACCAGTCGTCCTTCGGCTAGAAGGATGACGTGACGGCCCGAAGGCATCGTGTAACGGTCCACCTGAGGCTTGATGTTGCTGACCGATGTCGCGGTCTTCTTCAACCATGCCACATCAACTTCAATGTCGAAGTGACCAATGCTGAAAGAAGAAAAAGAGTCAAGTCTCAGTCAACAAGCCTTGGCAAAGTTACCAGAATGACAGACAACGTACTTGCAGACGATTGCGTCCTCAGGCATAGCCTCGAAGTGCTTGCCGACGATGATGTCCCTGCAACCAGTCGTGGTCACGAAGATGTTGGCACGGTGAGCGACTTCTTCCATTGTGGTGACCTCGTAGCCGGCCATAGCGGCTTGCAACGCATTGATTGGGTCGATCTCAGTGACGACCACTCGGGCACCGTAACTGGCCAAACTTTGGGCACATCCTTTACCGACATCACCGAATCCGGCGACGACAGCGACCTTACCGGCCAACATCACATCGGTGGCTCGTTTGATACCGTCGACTAGGGACTCACGACATCCGTAGTAGTTGTCGAATTTCGACTTCGTAACTGAGTCGTTGACGTTGATGGCAGGTACTTTCAGTTTGCCCTGCTTGTGGAGCTTGTAGAGATGGTGAACACCGGTAGTTGTCTCTTCCGAAACACCGCCGATTCCTGAAATAGGGAAAATCAAATGTTTAGGTCGGATGCCACAGAATATGTTGAGAGGACATCAAGAAGAAGAAAAAAAGGCAACTGACCCTCCAAGTATTGGGGGAACTTGTCATGTACAAGCGAGGTCAGGTCACCACCATCGTCCAAGATCATGTTGAGAGGTTTGCCGTCAGGGAAAGCAGCCAGGGTTTGCTCAATACACCAAAGGTATTCCTCCTCTGTTTCTCCCTTCCAGGCAAACACGGGGACGCCAGTAGCAGCAATAGCAGCAGCGGCGTGGTCCTGGGTGGAAAAGATGTTGCATGAGGACCAAGTGACCTGGGCACCAAGAGCAGTGAGGGTTTCGCTGCAAATTAATCTTGCGATTAGCTTTCACTCATCTCTTGTTTTCAACAAGATTATTAAGGGGTAGGGCGTGCTCACATCAATACGGCGGTCTGGATGGTCATGTGAAGACAGCCAGCGATACGAGCTCCCTTCAATGGCTGGGACTTGCCGTATTTCTGTCGGAGGTACATGAGACCTTGAAAGCAAGCAGATTGAGAGAGATCAGGACATGCCAAGTGGTAGTTCATATTACAATACGGAAATTTTCATACCTGGCATCTCGTTCTCAGCCAACTCGATTTCTTTGCGACCCCACGCAGCAAGGGAGACCTAAAGAAGGATAGTCAAAGAGAAAGACACGCATTCTGAGTGGGAGGGATTCCGAAATTTGGCTCCATTTTTAACTCGAGAACAACTCACATCGGCAACCTGATCAAAAGTAAGATCGTTCAAAACAACATCAGTTCGTACTGTCCAGCCCAACCCTAGGAAAGTGAGATGAAGGACTCACTTTGTAGACCATCGTGTAAGGTTAGAGTGATAGGAAGGAATCTATTGGTTTTATTTTATTTTTTTGATGATAAGGGTATGAAGGTTTGATGGTCAACAGATTCTTGTTGGAAGTGGTTGGTGGTCTTTAAATAAGCTGGGCAGAACGGCTGACGACTGGGGACCCGATCGGCAGGCTTGCTGCGCAGGAAGCTTGGATGCAGGGGCTGCGTATGCGAACCACGCTGGTGCTGATGAGAGCGCCTGCATATTGCATACAGGGGCTCGCTGTATGAACATCGCGGGATCGCTTGGAGATCCGGCGCGACAATCGGCCTTAACCGACCTGTCGGTAAAACCGGGAAGCCTCCCGGGATGGCTCAAATTCGATTCACTCGATGGGATGATTTTGAGGTCGCGGAGATTGAGAAAAGCTCTCCTCCCCACCATTGATGTATTAAACCAGGTCGAAAAGGGTAGAAAGAGGAAAGGCGTACAAGCTGATTGATTGAATGCCTTGGATTTCTTGAATCAGCCACAGCAACAGCAGGCAAGAAGCAGTCCGAAGCAAGCAGCCAATCTGGGGAGATGCCCCTTTGAAAGGCAGATCTTTGTAGAGAGGCTTCCAACTTGCAAAGACATCCAACTAAATATCTACGTACACATGTATTGCAACAATGCCTAGATCAAGACCAAGCTCCTTTTACATAATAGCGGGGTTGGGTTCATGATTGAGCTCTTCGATGCTCGTTTCGCCAAAAAAAACATGTTGGTTGGACATCGCTTGAATATTGGAAGTCGCTTGGATAAGCGCGTTTCTTATGCTTCGCAGCAGGTCATGCGGCTGCAGCTGGATTGAGATCAAAAGTCTTATGAAGAAATGCCAATCATGAACCCCGCGAATCGCTATGGAAAATCGGAACGATCGAGCAATGGACAAGGATCAAATTAGAAGAGACTTCAAAAGGACAAGATGAGCCGATGATAACGACATACGATTACTGATATATTGCTTGCATCTAATTGACAGACAGACAGACAGGAGGAGGGGGGTGGGGACCAATACAAGCCAATTGTAACTGATGAAATGAATAAGCGCAAATGTGGTGTGAAGACAAGAGAGACGCAAAAAAAAAAAAAAAAAAGAAAAGAAAGAGGAAACAATCAAGTAGGTTATACGGTGATGTGATTATTTTGCACTTGTATGTATTCGTTGTGTTGTGTTGTGGGGTAAAGAACACTAAGTTAATAAAACAAATTGAACGAATGAATGAATGACAAAAACAAAAACCCCAAGTTTTGGGGGATAAGAGGAAAAGAACAAAGTATTAAAAGAAGTAGTCGACAAGGAGATTGAGAAAAGTGTGGTGACTGATGTATGTGCAAGTAAGACTTCTCAAGTATATTAGTATTATTGTTTTTCTGTTTGATGGAGGAAAGAATCTCAGAGAGGAAAGATGAAAGAAATCGGAGAAACAACGACAGGAGTCAGAAAAAAGAGGAAAGATGAGAAAAGATGTTTTCGAATATATTGAAATGGAAGACAAGACGACAACGATTTTTTACTCCAGTTTAGGGTGCGCGCTAATGATAGCCGATGTTCTCAAGCTCCATCGTCTAAGGTTAGGCTCAGCGCCAGTCTGACGATCCGATTCGGGCTTCAAGACGACCCAAGGCTGAGCGGCTTTGGTTGGTGGAGATTGGACGTCTTGACCGTCGTGGGTATCTACCGGTTGCTCGTTCTCGTCTTCGGCGGTACTGGACAAGTGTTTGGACTTGACTAGGTTCACCGGCATGCTGTGACGACGGCTGCCAGACCCAGTCGATGATCGTGACTGATTGAGATTGGTGTGGTCCTCTAATATTCTTACCCTTCGTTCAGTCGGTCTTGCCCGCAGAGTTCCGTTAAGGTTTCCGCCGCCGTTCTCATAAAAAGTATCCCCATCATCGATCGAGTGGTTAAGTATAGACACTAACCTGATGGTGCTTTGGGTTGACCAGCGGTTGCTGTTCCCATTTGTAAGTGAGCCTGAGCCTTTGACAGGCGATGTCTTCGGCTTGGGCCGGCCTTCTGTAAGGCTCTTCAACATTGGACTACTTCGTTGCCGAGTGCTTTCCTGGCAGACAGTCCGGCGGTTCGTAACTGGGCTCACTAATGCAGCAGTGAGGTTGGACCCACCACTCATGGATGCCTGTGAGAGGTTACCGATTTCCAGACTATTCTCGTTACTCGAGCAGAAACCCATCTGATGCACCAAGTCATGGTTGCGGAGCCTGTGGTCAGCTCGTGGGACGGGTGGACCTCCGGCTTCTTCATCTGCGATGGTTTGATGATCATTGAGCTCCTTGACCTGCTGGATTAGCTCATCCATGGTAAAGTCTCTTTGGATCGGGGAAGTCGGTTTGGCTACATTGGTGAAGCCCCTGGCTCGAGGAGTCATATGTGGGTCCACCAAACTGCGAGACAAATGACCTGTCGGTTTGCTTCGTTTGGGGGTACTGATCGCCTCCCCCAAGACAACATGAACATCACTGTTCTCGGGTTCATTTGACTTCGTTGGGTTACCGCTAGGGTAGACCTTGCGTGCCAGTGGAGATTTACATTGGTGTGATGTGTGTGGGCGATGCTTCGAGACAGTTGGTGAGGTTGGACGATCGGCGTCGTGTGTGTTGGCACTGGAAGCAGTACCTTCCGTTCGGCCAGATAAGGTGGATGTCCGTGAAGAACTAGAGTTATCCAAGTGTTTTGGATGAGGCTGTGAATTGGGAGGGTAGCTATGGAGCACTGAACCTGAAGAGAACCACAAACCAAGCAGGATGAGCGGGATAGCAAAGTGCACAGATGGGAAAATTGAAGGTTCCACATACTTAAGATGCTTGCATTATGACAATCTACACTTCTTCTCATCAGTGGGTCCTGATACTTGCGAGGATTAGCTTTTGGACTAATGGTGGAAGGCACGTTGGGGTAAAGTTAGTTGAGTTGAGCGGATGTAACACAAGCAGAAAAAAAAGGGGCAAATGGAAATAAAACCTACCTGCCAATCGAGCGTTGCATGTTGTAATACTTAGCACTTCCTGGAGTCTTACGAAGTTTACTTCGACCAGACGACTTCAATTCATTCAAGAATGTAGCCATATCCGGGGGCTGATCAGAAGCTGTAGAGGGTCTACTGCTGCTGGTTGATGCGGCGTGTCGATGTAAATCGCTGATTGAGTTCCTAAACATGGCGCGAATGTTCGAACGGGATTGTGTCTATATGCGAGGTCGCCAAGGTGGTTAGAAAACAAAAAGTAAAAGCTCAGGGTATAGAGGCCACAGTGACTTACCACCACAGGCCCGGTCTTTGAGTTTCGGTTCACCTTTTTCAAAGTTTTCGCTCTGGGTGAACTGAATAAATCGGCCTCCAGTTCCCGGTCACGATTCCAACCACTGGCGTTGGAGTTGGCGCTTGCTAGAAGTGGTAAAGGATATGGTATGTCAGGAGGGAATGAACCCTAAATGCAATGAAGCAAGTAGACGTGTGAAGCGCTTACTTGGACGCCTGGCACCAGTTCCAGATGAACTGTGTCCAGCTTTAGAGGACTTGGCTCCAAACAAGTCGTGCGCTAGTCCAGGAAGTCGTGTACTGCCCTGTGTTCCAGAAGCAGACTTCTTCTTTTGAAGCCACTTCTCGGCTTGAGCTGGAGTAGACTCGCCCACAACGTCAGGGCCTTGGCCAAACACGCGAGAAACAATGAAGGGAGACCCTCCAACGGTGGCACCATCGCAGGGTTTCTTGACCACCACTGGCGAATCTGTCATTCCACTGTTACGTTTGCTGTTGGTTGGGTCTCGGGATGGGCTCAGTAACTGACAGCGTTGGGTTGAAACGCGAGATGAAGACACCGGTGAGGAGACAAACAATGGGGAACGCGGGGAAAAGGTCACATGGTGACTGTCACTAGACTGGCTGGCACGTCTACTGGCTCGATCAATTGACATGTACATCGAGTTTCTTTGAGCAGATCTGGTTTTCTCATTTTCAAGCTCCTGTCTGAGTCGAGTGATTTCACTTTGTAGAACTCGGATCTTCTTAGTAGGCGATTCTTCAGGTTCGTCTGCATCTGTGGTGCTTTGAGAGTGGTCTGCTGTGTGTCGCTTATGGTGGCCTCGAGACAAGCCGAGCTTCTGCATTACCTTAGTCTTGGGCTTTGGTTGTGATTGGTTGGGGTGTAAATCGACTAGCTTGCTTGTAGTCAAGTCGATGGCCGCGAGACCTGGCCTGCGAAAATGGATCAAGTCGCTGCGATGCAGGAGCCTTTTGCGTTTGCGATTGGGCGTTTCGAACTCGAGCCCTTGTGCTTCTTCTCGTTCCAAAAACTCATACGAGTCATCAACATCTTCATCGACTTCCGCAATCATTTCCTGGTGGCGAATTTCACGAGGGCTTGGGAGAGATTTAGTCATATCGATTGGAGCTGATTCAGAGGGCGGACTGTTGCAAGCGTGCATTGTGTTGCTCAACTGGCTGCGCAGTGTATTTAACGATGAGGACGTGTTGGTGACAGAAAAGCTCGATTCTTCAGCGATGTCGTTTTCAGCTGGACAAGCTTGTGGCTTGTTGGCTTCTTTCAAGAAAGATGGCGGGATAGTGAGCCGAGCCTGGTTCTTGGGAGGAATAGGACATCCTGCAAATAAGCTTGCAATGCTGCCAATAGAAGGCGATGCGTTCAGGTCATTTGACTCGCGAAAGCCTTCGAGGTGCGATTGCAAAGAGGAGATCGAGGGTGAGGGATCAAGTGGTCTGCCAATTATCTCAGCCAGCGGAACCTTACGACGAGAAGCCGGGGCGGGACGCTGAGAAATTATCCGACGACCGATTTGGATGGCGGCAGGCTCGTCATTGTTGATGTCAGAATCGCTTGTCAAAAATTCACGTTCGTTATCTGAGGTGGATGGGTGCAAGGTCGGGTTGGTGTCTCCTTTGATGGTGCCCCCTCCGAGTGGATAAGCCAAGTTCTGATGGGTTGAGAGGCCGGTGTTAATGATGCTTCCCAGTGAAGAAAAACTGGAAGCACTAAGGGTATTCATCCGGGATGAACTGCGCGGAGAACCAAGTATCTTGGTGTGCCGGATCCTAGGGGAAGGCATGCTAGACCCGCTGTTGAGACGTGAGGCGTGAATGCTATTGTTGTTTTTGAGATCTTCGAGTGCGTTCAAGTCGACAGAGGTGTTGGAGGTTAGCGAAGTATGGTTGGAAAAGGCCCGGTTCATGTTTGAGCCACTGTTAGTAGAAATTGACGAGGAAGCCTGCCACGTCGAGGAGGACTGCATGGGCAAAAAAAGTCAGATCAATCATTGCGATTCTTTAGAAAACATACTCAATCAAGAGACTTACTATGTCAGCGTTGACCGACGACCCAGGGCTGTCCTGACCTCGCGTAGCTTGAGAGTGAGGAAAGAGAACAGAGTTGGATCCGGTTAGGAGGCCAGATGATGGCATAAATATGGGAGTGGGACCCTGCTGAACGCGATGAGAAAGAATCTCCTCGACGTCAGCATCATCCTGATTGTATTGCTCATGAGATTGTTGGACATGTGTCGGTTGATCTTGAGTTTTTGACGGATCGTCCGCATTGCTTGAAAGAGCACGTTCGCGTGAAGAAATATGAGGGGATGCTGTTGGGGGGTAAAACAATGGCAATATTGGCAGATGAGATGTCAGAGGCATTGATGTCAGCTATCGGCATTAGAGTACCACAGGTTGTGGGAAAACAAGGTAACAGGACAAAAGGTTTCAGATTATGAGAGCAGCTTTTATTCAGCTGAGGCTTGAGCGACCAACTGTGGCTATTTGCCATCAATGTCCTCAAGCTTCACCTGCTGGCAAGGTTATCTTTGGGCAGCTACCAGCGGACAAGTGATGAGACTCGCGCGGCTTGATGCTATCCAAAATGGGAAGAACTTTGCCATGCCGAGAAAGATTACTACGAGAATTAAGTCGGTGGTTAGCCGGCCAGTGATCGAGTCACGATGTGACTGGGTCAAGATTTGAAGTCTATGCTTGATAGCGGAGGATACAAGCCTCTATCATGATTCATGATTGAAACTTGGGAAGCGTACTTCCATCGAGGCCGATTCGAGCGTCGATGAAGGAAAAAAACTCCCATCGTATTTGATGAAAGTGACGATGATATGACATGCAGCAGCAGCATGGAAAAGATGCCCGAAAGCGGTTTCGGAGCTGCGCGGTACCTGATCGACAGTCTGTCAATTCCACCTAAAGGGTGGCCAGTCCCAAGTCACTCCCAATCGGCATGAAGCGTTACGAGAGAATTACCACAAGACATGGGATACGTGCCCCGAAAGGAGGATGCAGGGTACATGTGAGCTGTGAAGTGGCAGCTTTTTTTTTCTCTCTGATCTGAAGTTTTTCGCGGTCTGACCGGATTCTCAGGGAAGAATGAATCGGGATGGGAAGGGTGGCAGCAGAAGACGAACTGGAAGAGAGAAGAGGGCGAAGGGAAGGAAGAAAGAAAGAGAAAATGATGGTGATCGGCAGGGCTGTATGGGATAAGCCCCGAAAGTTGATCGATCGAGACTATCGCCGGACCACACCGATTGGTTGTCTTAAAGAGTTTGAGAGATAAGAGGGAATGAACACTTACGCTTTGGGGGCAAGGGTGGCTCAGTCTGAGGAGTGGTGGGGATTGGTTGAGCGAGACTCATTAGCTGTTGGCGCTGTTGCTGCTGGAGATGAGTGATCTGATCGTTTCGAGCCTGGTTGCCAGAATCTTCGTTGAGGGTCATGGTGGAGTGATTCTCCGCTCGTCTGAGTTTCTTGCTCGGTGACGGCAGGTCGAGATCGGAGAAGTGAGGCGACGGGAGCCGGGGTGGCCGGTCTTCCTGCTGCTCTTCCTCGGGTGTTTTGCCGATCCGGCGAGGGGAAGGGCGTTGATGATGGCGATTGGGTACTGATCTACTCTGGCGTTTGAGGTAGCGCCTGGTGCGAGTGGATTCGGTCTTGGGATTGGATTGAGTACTACTATTATTAGCCGGGGGAAGGCTGTTATTATTATTGAGATGAGTGTGAGTGTTTCCACCCCTGACAGCCTTAACAAAGTCGTTGATTTCCTTCTTGATGACTGAGGGCAACTGGAAGGCTATTCCCAGCCAGCTCGTCGGAGCCGGGTTGGCAGTAGTAGTAGTAGTGAAATCTAATTGGGCTCGCTTCCGTTTCGTTGGTGTTGGTTGGCTTGGGCTTGCGGTTGTTGGGGTGGGGTTGCTGGTTGCGCCCATGGGGATCGTCTTGGTTGGTCGGGTAGTCATGCTCGGTTGGAATTGGCGCAGAAGAAGATCAGAATAAGTAGAAAAGAAAATCTTGAAGGACAATGAATGAACAGTTGCTGGAGTGAAAGAGCTGGAGGAGAGCCGAAGAAGTGAGAAGGAGAAGTAAGATGATGATGAGCTGATCGGGAGGATTAGGTTCTGAGGGCCAGCTTGCTCCTGAAATATAATATCAAGAACTTGTTGAAAAGATTGAAGATGGGATGAAATGCACTGGGGGACTTACAACGAGTTGGAGAGATATCTATGCAACTGAGGATGAGTTCAGCTGGAGGAATGCTTGCAGATGATCTATTTAGATGAATTGTTGATGAGCTTGCAGCTGAATCGGCCTTTGAGTGAGGAGGGTAGAAGTTGGGCGAGAGAAATCGGAGGTCGGATGATCAGGTGAATTATAAGAATCTATGGGGGCGTATGATACTGGAGGAAACGATGAGAGCCATCGCCGAGGTTGGAAGATGATAGTCTACTCTGGTGGAGAAGAATGGCAAGAAGTTACTCGAGACTTGTGAATGATCGTTACAACAATAGTCAAAACAAAAGGAACTCTCGATCGTCGTATTGAAAAGGGTTCGTTAGAGTATATTCGTTGGTCAATCTGAATCGGAGGCACTCTGAGAACGAAGAGAAAGACCTGGTTGACTTGGACGGGGTTTCGTTGAGGCTGCTTAAGATGGGTCTCTAAAAGAACCGGGTTCGATCGTTCATCAATCAATCCCAGCCTGGCCAACGATTTCCTCGACCAAATGATAGCAAGAGGGAGGAATTGTGAGTTGAAGTTGGCAACCGGGCATTTACACCAGCTGTTGCTGAATCACGTGACACGAAACCATGAACACATTCATTTAGCTTCAACGCGCGTCGGCTGAGTCAAACGCGTCCGACTTCACTGGAGTCATCCTATAGCCCCATCTGTCCCTGCCCATGGACTGATCGGAGAGACACAAGAATCGGACGAAAATCATCATTTCTTGTTTGTCCCAGGCCCTATCATCAATCATTTCGAGCGGCCATTCGGAACTAGCTAGCCTCTCCTGTCCGCAATCTCAGAGTTCCCTGGCTGGAGTCATCCTTATAATTTAATCTCACCCACTTCAAAGCTCCCAATCCATGATCACCCATCTATTCGAGAACAACAACTATTTATAAAATAGAGCTCCTAGAAATATTTTGTTTATTTATCAACAGCGTGTTGTCTGTCTGTGCCAAGATATTATGTACCTACACAATAAAATCACCAAAAAAAAAAAAAAAAAATCCCGCCAATCATCCGAATCATCTCCTCAACGCAGGGTGAAAGCTAAAGCTAAGTTGAGATGCACAAGATCAACGTTGTGGGCTACATACGACATCAAACTTCGGCCTTGCGCGGCTGAACTCCTTTTTGTCCACAGAAAGTTTAGGATTCAGGCTAATTGAGGTTAACCTTGGGTTACATATATGGAGCCCATCCACAAGACACATGCATATGCAGGGCCAAATCATTAAGGTTCTTCTCTCGCAAGCTGTTCGGCCCAAGGCTTCCAAGCTAAAACAGGAAGATTGTATTGAGGCTTCCAAACAAAAAGGAAAAGAAAAAAAAGAAAGAAGAAAGGGGTGTTCAGTCCACTGTGAAGTCATCAATTTTGCATGACTACATATCCTTCTGTATCCATATTTATAACCTCTATCTGAGAAAGAAGACGGCTGTGGGCTGTGCATGAATATTTGTATGTGTGAAAAAAAAAGGATCTGGTTCATCATCAACTGATCCACCAAAAAAAAAAAAACATCTCTTGCCCAAAAAAAAAAAAAAGATACGAAGCTGAGATCGTGATAATTAAAAAAAAGTGAATGATGATGGGAGACGGGTTTTGTATTATATATGCTATATCATAGATCTTTCTTCTACTAACTGACAATTTGTATTCAAAAAAAAGGAATAAGGATATGGAATCTGATGTGGGAAGTATGATACGTAAGTTGAGTGAAGATAAAAAACAATAAAGCTCAAAAGAAATCACAAAAAGAAAAGTTATGATGATGAGGATGAGTTTTTTTTTTTCTTCTTTCCTTGTTGCACTAATTTGCTTTTCTTTGCTTTGCTTTCGAATCCATTTGTCTTGAGTGTTGTTTAAGTTTAGGAAATAGATGTAAGAATCTCAAAAAAAAAAAAAAAAAAAGGTTGTTGAAGAAGAAGCATAAAAAAAAGAGTGAAAAAAAGAAAGACAGAAGGTGAAGAAGAAGGAGGAAGAGGGGGAAGAGGGAAAGATAGGAGAATGAGGAGTTTAAGAGAGAAGGAGACAAAAAAGATAAAAAAAATGAAGATTAAACAAGGGGGGGGGGATTCACATACATACATACATATATATATATATGTATGTGAATGAAGAAAAAAAAAATGAAATAAATAGGAAAGAGTGTGGCTGATTATCCTTTAGCTTTCTTGACGGTTGTCTACACCATCCCAAAGAGAACGAAAAGCAACAAAAAAAACCCATTAATACACAAACAAATTCATCCAAAGAAAAAAGGGCGAGAAAAAAAAACGGACATCATAAGATCTGATGAGCTGTTCTTGGCCTTCTTCAGTCTGCGAGAACGCGAATCCTCTATTCCTCCTAAGTCTTTGCACTGCCCTCACTTTCTTGATAGCCTACATACACATAACCAGAATCAATCACGTTGATTTATTTTTTTTGTTAGTAATGGGGATTATGAAGGAGATGATCACAAGGAAAGAAGAAAGAGCGCCGACTTTTTGGAATTGTTCCATTCGAGGCCTGTAGTCTGGCAAGTTAAATTTCTGGATCTCTTGGACGATGTGATAAGCTTCAGGTCTAAACAATCTCTTATAACTACAGAAAAGAAAAAACGAGGATGAGAATGAGGGAGGAAGACAAGGATGGGTAGAAGAGAGAAAGAGACGGACCCTTTCCAGGCCAAGTCTCGTGCCAGACATCCCACAGGGATCAAGAGGAGACAGAAATAGAAGACCGAGCTAGACAGCATGCGTGGCATGAGGTTGTAGTACTCCTTACTGACCCCGATGTGTGGGGCGATGGAGGCATAAGTAGGCAGGAGCAAGAGCGTCAATGCAAACGAGCCAGGGATGGCTAATAAAGTCCATTTGGTCCACAAACTGTTTTTTTATGCAAGGAAAAGAAAAAAATTATCAGTTTGATGTTGCGAATTCTGTTCAAGATCTTGTGGATAAAATACATCGCGACTGACTCGGAGATGATTGCTGCTTTGCCGAGTACCGTTAAGAGCGTGACTAGATATGTCGTCGTGCCCCATAGCCATTGGCCAGAGATCCATCCTTGATGCAGGATGAGATCGTCTTTGAAGATGAGAGCAGTGACGAAGAAGATAAACTAGATACATCATGAAAGAAAAAAAAGTTGAGAGAATTTAGAAGGGTGTCAGTGTTTGGATGGAGGTTACAAAGTGACAAGAGATAGGTGACTGACGACTGAATGATATACTGCTGTTGCCACCCACTCCCAAAAGATCCGTCGAGTGAACTGAAAGAGCGCGGCATGCCGAAAAAAGAAGCGACTTATAAGTGGTCAAGTCAGATAGAAAAAGGGGGAGGGGGGGAGACTGAACGAAGATGTTGCGTTGGCCAAGGGTGTAGAGTTCGGGATACCGATCCAACATCCTAGCGCTGACGAATTGGTCGAGGACGCCGAGAACAAAAGGCGGCATCACTGCGACAAAGGATTAATGATGAATGGTGCGTCAGGATAAGACATCGGATTGATTAGACTTGGGGTCTTGATGTGTGACGGACCTGTGAACAGCACATTGTAAAACGTTAAGGTCCATGATTCGAATAAGACTTGTCCGGAAAATCCATTCGCAAATGAGAACTACATCGAATTAATATGTCAGCACTCTGTTAACCAACCAGGAGACTTGTAATGAAAATTATAAAAGAACTTACATAAAACCCAATCAGATAAAGTGTAATGTTCTATAAAAATAAGGTATCAGTTCCAGTTTTGTAGTTTTTGCTTGTTGCTTTAGTGAGATTTTTTTATAAAAGACAAACCTTATAAAACCTGAAAAGAAAAAAAAAATGGAAATAGAGATGAATTAGTATGGAATGGTGAGGAAAAGAGGGGTCGAGACGAAGGGGAGTGAAGACGACGTACGAGTAAAGAATCAATTTAGTCAATCTAACATAACTCCACGTGCCATGAACGAGGAGGAGTTTCTTAAGGAATCTGAATTGAGAGATTGCGACGTCAGCGGAGCGGGCGGCCTGAAGGCCCTCGACACCGCTGATCCCGATCCCGACGTGGGCGGCCTGGATCATACTGACATCGTTTGCGCCGTCACCAATCGCTAGCGTGATCGATCCTTTGATGTTCTTCTTCACTAGCTTGACTACTAACGCTTTCTGTAACGGCGAGACTCGACCTGTTCTCTCTTCCCAGTCAATCTCTATCCACTCACTCATACACTTCAAGGAAAGGAAAAAAAAACAATTCCATGTTCCCAACTCACAACATACTACAGCTTTGCATAATACCGCTAGCTCTAGAAAGGGCTTGGAAATTGACTTGTCCAAGGCAAATCCCAAACTTTTTCCGTCTGTAAAGAATAAGACAAAACCAAAATGTGAATTCAAGAATCCTGCTGCAATGAACGAGAGAGAGGAAGAAGGAACAAACCGATGATGAGTGCCAGGTCTTCAGAATCAGCAGGATTTTTAGAAGCGGCCCGAAGAGCGAGGAGACGTTTGTGGATGAAGTCAGCGGTAGCGTCAGCGGACTCTTCATTGACGATGACGAGGTTCATAGATTCGGAGATAAGACGACAACTGAGGCCGATGTTGATTGCGGTTTCCTGACGGTCGCCGGTGAGGACCCAGACCTTGATGCCAGCCTGTTGGAGGGTATAGATCGTATCGGGCACGCCTTCTTGTAGCTTATCCTCGATCGCTGTCGCACCCAACAGGAATAGGTTCTTCTCGATCAGCTCCGAGGCTTTGTCGATCTCCTCCGTCCGTCCATTCACCGTCGCGGCCGCTCGCTCATATATCGCCGCCCATGGCTGATACTCTTCCTCCGGGATCTCGCGCATCGCTATACATAACGTCCGCAGTCCTTCGGTCGCATACTCCTCTAGATGGATTAGTGTGTTCTCCTTGTACGGCTGGTGCGGCGCACATCGCTCTAGAATCACCGTGTCGGCTCCCTTGCAGTAAAGTATGATCCTCCCGTTTGGTGCTCGAATGATTGAGGACATCCGCTTGCGAGTACTGTTGAATTCGAGAATGTTGAGTACTTGGTACTCTTGTTGTAACCCATTAGCTTCGATCATGATCGACTGTGGCTTGCGCACCTGTCATTGTAGGAAAACATTTTACTTTCAACAAACCATCACACAAAAAAAAAAAAAAAAAAAAAAAGAATCAGAACGAGGAAAACTCATTCACTTTGAACCGATAGTTTAAAACTTCTGCTCCAGCGACCAATGCGGCTTCGTCAGGACTACTGGCCTGGTAGACGATCTTTCCATCTTTTTCCTCAGGAATGACGGTATGACAGGTAGCGAGGAGAGTCAGGAATTCGTTGGTGACCTTTCCACAATCGTTGTTCTTGGCGAGGACCGAGGGGAGATCGGAGAAGGGGAAGATCTCTCCCTTGCGGTTCTCATCAACCACGTCCGAATAGGGCACCCCAGCAATCGAACATTGTCTGAACTCCATCACGTTCCTAGTTAGCGTTCCAGTCTTGTCAGAAAATACATAATCGATCTGGCCTAGTTCCTCGACTAATGATGATGTTCGACATAGCGCTGCTGTATCTGTCACCGGATAGTACATATCTAAATCTGAGTTGATTAGAGCGGCTTGTTGGTACTTGACCACCTCCATGGTGACGATGAGTCTAAATAGATTAGGTTGATATGAGTGACAATAATCAGAATGACACAGTGGATAGAGAAAGGATGGATGGATGCTCACGAGATAGGGATCAGGTTATTGTACAGAATGATGAAGGTTAGAATATCTTCAATGAACGAGGTAGTCTTGTCTTTACCGGAGTCGGCTTGCATAATATACCAGAGCTGGCCCCCGAGGGAGTACTGATAAGATGGGGAAAAAGAGTTAAAAGTCTCGACAAGATAGTTTGCGTGGGAGTGCCGGTGGGGATGGACTAACTGTTCGGATAAAGCTTCCTATCGACGAGCCGACTGATAAAACCAAAAGGATGATGAACAAGAAGACGATTTGGACGTTGACCATTCGTTCGACGGCCGTCCGTTTGATGGGAGCAGCTCTAACAAACCCAATCATTCCATAGATCAGTCGCACATTCAGGAATCACATGCATAGATATGGGGGAGGGAGGACATACGTTGCGTTACGCATCAACTTGGTTTCGTGACCGGTAAACACAACAAGGCCGTACATCCAGGCCGTGTTCCTGAGCTGAGCGCCTCTGAGTAGCATTTGATCGGGGGAGATTGAGATTTGTTTCTGGGGCATTTGAGAAGTTTCGAGAGTCATAGTACCTTCGTAAGTGTAAAGAGAGTTATTAGGTTGTTCGGAGCGTAACTGGCCACGGATACTGGAAGCTAGTTGAGGACTTGTGAGATGGGCGGTGGATGGATTGGCCTGTTTGATCTTCAGATTCGTCTCACCATCCAAGTTGCTCGTCTCGATGTATGCTAGTCCGTCGGGTTCAGAAGAGCTGAGTAGGATCAGGTCAGCTGGGAAATGTTCGTTGGACTCTAGTCTGACGACGTCTCCAACTTTGATGTCCTGCCAGGGTTTCTTGATGTAGCTATCTCCTGATAAGATGTTGGCGGCTCGTGTGTTTAATTCTGCGTCTGATTTTCCTCGTTTGATATCTTCAGTCATTTCCTTGAAGGCTGCTACTAGTAGGACGAGTGTGAGTGGTGCAATGGTCGTATATGGGTTGGTGGGTGAGACATTAGGGATTTGTTGGATGCATGCCGTAAACAAGAAAAACAGATTGGCATATTTACTGAATTGTTCTTTTTTTTAATTTATTTGGTTGTTAATAATAAAATTTGGAATCAGTTAAACTTGAATTGAGATTTTTGAGTAGAGAGAGAGAGAGAGAGACTTACCTAGTAGGAACTTTGGGAGAAAGGTGATGATATTGTACTTGGTTGTGCTGACATGATTGCTGATAAATTTGAATTCACGTTGATTGCGTGGGGCGTCGTTGAGATAGAGTAGTCGTTCACCGGTGAGTTCTTTGGGTTGACGACTGAAGAGTTGTTCGAGGCGTTCCTTGAGGGGGACAGATTTTTTTGGGGAGGGCTGTTTTTTAGGGAAGGAATGTTTGGAGGTGGGGGGATGGTTGTCGACTAAGGGGATGGATCGAATGCCGTGAATGATGTTCTGGTCGTCATACTCATCGGGGGCGTACTTTGAGGATAGGGATGTGGATCGGTGGTGGGCAGCTGTGAGGGAGTTTGAGAGTGATTGAGGGTGATGGTTGTTCTTGGGGATGAGTTTCTGAGGGTTTCGTGATTGGTTGAAGGTCGTATTGAATGGTTGTGCAGAGTAAGAGTTTGAGTTGATGCTCGAAGGGCTCTGATCGTCATAGAGGGGATTGTAGATGGGTTGGGTTGGGCTTGAGTTGAGATCTTGCATGGTCCCACGAGGGTTGCTGGGATGACCGCCTCCGTAGGCAGCCGGGTTTTGATCTTGATCGAAAGTGGGTGAGTGAGGGGGTTGGAGGTGGTCGTGATAGGAAGACTGGTTGTAGTCCTGATCTTCTTCTTCTTCTTCTTCTTGTTCTAGTTCTAGTGCTTGTTCTTCTTCTTCTGCTGCTGCGCCTGCTCCTCGTCTCAGATCGTCCTCCTCTTCCTCGTCGTCGTGGTCGGGTAGGGCAGAGTGGTGGGGATAGTAGCCGTAGGGTGGAGTGGGTTGATGGCTGAGTGGGAAATGGTGATTGGTTTGGAATCCGTCGAGTAGTTGAGGGGTGTAAGGGTCTGGTGAATGGGAGGATGAGTGATAGGTAGAGTGCTGGAGTTGAATTGCGTCTATATTATGACCGAGTCCGCTGTTGTTGTTGTTGTTGTTGTTGGTTGTTCTGGTTGGTCGTTGTTGCTGTTGTTGTTGTTGTTGTTGTTGTTGTTGTTGGGTTGTTGTGGTGCTGAAGTGGGCTAGTTCATCGTCTGAGCTGTTTATAAAATCCTCCTCTTCTCCTAGGATGTGACTTGGCATTCTATGTTGTACTGTTTTGCTGATACAGTTTTTCCCAATCGTTGTTGTTGAATTCGAATTGGCGGGTCACTGGTGGTGGTGGGGTTGGTTTGGTTTTGAAGGATTAATCGGATTGGATTACCTAAGCCAAACTACTGACTCTCCCCCCTGAAACCCACTCCCCTCTAAAACTCATCAATCCATCCAACCTCTCAACGGAGTCTCCTTAATCCTCCAATCCACTGTTCGGTGCCAGAAAAGGTACATACACATACTCATCAAGATTCTGAAACCTCACTCCTCCCACAGTATCATCCCTAAATCAACCAGAGAAGAACAACCTCACACTCCTGGGTATCCTGATATCTGCATATCCACCCGGATCCACCACAGTGGCCGCTCCATGCTGAGGTTTCAAGTACAAACTGGAACATCTTAAAGATCAACTATGTACCAAATTCCTACAAGTGAAAATCATAGGACTGCTAGCTATGTCATGCTCAAGCAAACATGGAGAGGAAAATCCAGAAAATGTTTCCCCCTTTGTCTTGCAGCTGTACTGGAATCTCAGAGGATTGAACAGCTTGATCATCCCATACTAAATCCTCACAAAAAAAACTGAGCTCTTCTCTACTTCTTTTCAATCCAAAAAAAAAGAAAATCACTTGAATCACTACATTCTACTCATTTCAATCAGCCATTTTGAAATCAAACCAATCTTTCTGAATTGTTCAACTTACAAGCTCACCTAAAGATAGAGTATAGGAAAATAGGGGAAAAAAAATAAAGAAAAGGCTGATGAATCACTTTTGTATTTCATGGGATATGGAGCTTTAATTGGGCACAAAGAGATACTCTTTCAAAAGAAGCCACAAGTGTTGGATACTACACAAGCTGACTGAGATAAATCATGAGACCAACAGAAATCACCCCTAAGTGTGAGAGTTTGGAGCATCTCCACTGTGGGTGGTAAGCCCCATTTACCACACCAACTCCCAAAACACCCTGCCACTGCAGGTGCTATATATACAGGGTTGTGACCAACATTTTTGGTCCAAGAAATACACCATTAAGGTGGTGGTTCTACCACCCCGGTACCAGCCCTCATAGCACTCTCAAATCTGTGAAACCATCCCTCCAACTTGCAAACAGTTCATTTTGCCAGCCAATTAACAATATCACAGACTTATCAATACATGTCATGAAAATTTAGCCTCCAATTTCCTTACCTCTTGTTGGCAGACAGCTCTCATCTCAGGCACTAAATCCGTACAACCATTCCTAAAAAAACCAACCAGCATGTACCACCCGGGTTTACCACCCACTGTGGAGTTGCTCTTAGAATTGAAACCAAAAAAAAGAAAGCTGAATAAAGCAAAGAGAAGTTAGAAAAGTGATACACAATCTACTATGTAAACTAAGGTTCCTTATTTTTTGGCCAAGTTTCAGTTCAAAGTATCACTATAAGTGAAACAGTCACAGAGTATGCTCATAAGAGTGAGATATTCTGAAAGCTCAACAATTTATAAGGGATTCAGGATCACCACAGACCAATTTATGAATTTATTTGATGTTTCTCAAGAGCCAGCAGAGATCACTCAATAATATATTAGGCCTGATGAGCTAATGCTAAATGTAAAAGGAACAGACAGTACAGCTGTTACATGAAAGTGTTGATCAGAGAAAAGCATAGAAGATATAGAGATCAGTGAATGAGAGAAAAAGAAAAAGAAAAAGTGATTGGATCAGAGGATAACTATAATGATAGAAGAAGAACACAACTGACAAAAAACTAGAAGGACAGAAGACATGAAAGTGGAATCAACAGCAAAATTTAATACAATACACCTATTTGTATCTGTTTTTTCTCTGAATACATTAGATTTAGAATTGTATCAACAAACAGATACTATACAAATGGATCAAGATTTGTGTGTCAGGTCACAAAGACAGCTCAATATAAAAATCAAATGATGTGTCTGTGTGTATTTTCAATTTTTCTGGTTTAAAACAATTTAAAATGACCAAAAGAAAGGTGAAATGGTTTTTTTTGATGAAATACAAATGTATTGTATCTGATTTTACATAAAATACACAACACTAATTTTTTGAATCACCACAAAAAATATAAATTACAAAAATATCTGGCATTGTATCATTTCTGTTTCAGTGTTGGTGGTACAGAGCCTGCAGGTCCCAGGATAATGGACTATAATCAACAAAGCTGGAGAAAAGCAGAAAGGGTTATCACTATGTGCCAAATTTTGAGAGATCAGCAAGGAAGGGAGCCAGGAACGGGATGATAATTGTGATTATATAGAGAGATATTGACAGAGTTAGTCAACAACAACATCAAGAATTTAGGTTGGGGAATTAAGGAGGTTTGAGGAGGGTTGAGAGAGAGAGAGGATATTGTGATTTTGGAAAGCAAGTTTTCAATCAGATGAAGGATAAAAGTGTTGTAAGACTTGCCGCAGCACCGCACCTAAACTTGACTCCAGGACTTCCCGGAGTCAAGGTATTACACACTTCTATGCGGAATACATATGTAGTGTTGTTGGTCTCTAGTCTTAAGAAAAAGAAGAGTATTGTTGGAATTCTTATTTCTTACTCAGTCCTCATTCTCTCTTTACTCCTTCAACCTCATTAATCTTAGATTGATCTCTTTAATGGATCTGAACACACTCACCACTTGAAGTCTTCTCCTTGGTAGTCTGACCAATATCTACTGTTCTGAAGTCTATCCCTCAGATTGTAGTTAATGAACCCTGTCTGAGGAGGGTGTATTTTCTCTCATATCTTTGAAGTTATATATTCAATTTTGGTGCTTGATGTTTTACCCAAAGAGTTTCTTTCTGCTTTTTTTATTCATTTCAATTCATACCACATGTTGAGGGTGGTAGTCAATGTGGGGATTCTGAGAGACTGGCTTTCTGCTATCCTTCTGGAATCTGCATGAGCAATATGGTTTTTATGTATAATCAGGGAGAGTGCAGGATCATGACCTTAAGGACAAACAATGTGATAGGAAGTGCAATTTATTTGAGAACCAACTGAGGGTTGGATGAAATGACCACTGATGAGAGTGTGAGAAAAGGGAATCAGACCTAGGACAACTGCAACAAGTGAATAATAATGGCACCAGTTGAAGCAAGTAATGATATAATGAAACTTGGATCAGAAAGAAAGTTACAAGCAGATGAAAAATAGAAAGTAGCTATATTCTGTCTACAAATAGGTTTCAATCTTGTTTATCAATATTTTTTGTAACCATGTGATTTGCTTACATAGCCGCAGTATCTCAGCCAATGTGAATACTTCATTTGGTAATCCAATAAAGAGCAGATAGAGTGTACATACCAAAGTGTTATTTTTGGGTGATATGATCAATTGGAAGGTTTTGGTTTGGTGGTTCACTATGCTTTTTTAGTGTTACCATAGTGGTGCATTTTTGAGCCTATGTGCTTGTGTGTGTCAGAAGCCTGTTAGTGGCTTTCTGCCACAGGACACTAGACAGTCCTATGGTGTACCTCACGGACATATTTTTGTGGCATGTGAATGTAGTGTTAGAAAAGATCTGGCAAAATTCATCTGTGCTGCAGTGCAGCACAGGAATTTTGCCAGATTGCAGCTGCACTGAATGTTAGCAGAATTCAGCTATGCTAACACTATATTCAACTTAACTGGCTTAGTGATGTTCAGGTGCAAGAAAATCCATGGCATCCATTTTTGGACCTGGACTCTAGTATCTGGTTGACATTCAAATCTGGAAACCCAGGGGCCATTTCTTTTAGTGCACAGTGGTTTGTTATTACCTGAAATTATTGAACAGGCACTACTTCCTGGATCCTTGGGCCAAAGTGATGATTTTGAAACCTCCTTACACAGAGTAAATTAGGCCCCAAAACTTGAATGGTCCAATAAGCTAGAGACTACAGACAGATATGTTTGCAAGTATGAGGAAAAAAGGAATCAAATTGAAACAGAGAAAAAACAAGATGCACATATTGAGACATGAGATAGAAAGGTGGAAAGCAGACTAAAGATGGGAACAAGAGTAGACATGGAAACCGCAACAAATGTCAGAATTCTAATCTGACCAAGTTATACAACAGATTGCTATTGGACTTTTGGTTCTCTGACGTCATTCTATCTCCTAAGCATATTCATTATCCTTACACACTAAAAATATCGGTTGTACTTTGAAACCTAATTGATCAGGTAGTTCTCTGAGTTCGCTCGCATGTGACGTTCTCTCTCTTTCTTCCTCAATCAAATTGTTTCTTATTCTTTCGTACAACTCGACTCACTAAAAGACTCAAACCTTTCACTACAGGTTAGTATCACTTTCTTCCATTCATGATTAACCTGTCTCTTAATTGTTTCATCAATTTCTTAGGTTTGCTCTTTTGTCTCTCGTCGGTCATATCAGTCAAGTAGTGATCTGATATCACCTACTCCTTAAAGGTGTGTATAAGGAAATCAAATCAAATTGTTTCTTATTCTTTCGTACAACTCGACTCACTAAAAGACTCAAACCTTTCACTACAGGTTTGCTCTTTTGTCTCTCGTCGGTCATATCAGTCAAGTAGTGATCTGATATCACCTACTCCTTAAAGGTTTGCTCTTTTGTCTCTCGTCGGTCATATCAGTCAAGTAGTGATCTGATATCACCTACTCCTTAAAGCTCGTTGTTCTATATTGCCCAGGGACCTAATTGCAAGTCTCACAATATACCAAGATTGTAACTATATTTTAATTCCAGTGAAGCGTGAGCCTCACAGATGTAGGAGAAATTCTTCATGATGTGATTTTATCAACATCTAGTTATTATCTTCATGCTAATCATGTTGGAATTCGATTCCTAAGCTTAGCCCTCGAAAGAGGAGAATTTCAGGTAAAGTTATACTTTAATGTATAAACTTCCTAGAGAACAAGCATACTGATCAATAATGTTTGATCATGTATAGAATTAAGCTGTTCCGTAGATGAGCATGCGATCGCCAAGCTTAAAGCTTGTGATCAAGGAGAGGACATCAATGATGTCATTACTCTAGATGATGATTATCATCGATCTTTGAACTCCAAGTGAGTACTAATGATCGTGATCAAAGGATTGAGAGAATGATCGTTGACGATCTGATTCTTCTCTCCTCAACATCAATCATCTACAGTATCTATCAAACCTCCGCAAGTTGCACTCAACTTATCGATCGTATTTCACCA